ATCAGACACCGCTTCTGCGTGTCGGTGCACGTGATATATTATAAGGAGTAACGATATGTTGTATGAAATGTAGTGACGTAAAAAGTACGATCTTATGCTTTGGAATGTAGTGAAGTAAAAGCAAAAGTCACTCAAAATAAAACTACTACAGTAAAGTACAGATACTTCAAAAATTTACTTAAGTACAGTAACAAAGTAAAACTACTACGTTACTGTCCACCACTGCGTGTGCGTCTTTTTAAAGACGACGTTGCGTCTGGCAAACTCGACGCTGCATCTTGCTACAGATAACACATCAACCGTGCATTTCTAGATGTGGTCGTTATCTGGTGTCGGGTGATGGTCATGATCGCTGCCTCACGTGTCTCGGCATTAAGCATGCTGAGGTGGCGTTTGTGGATGAGTCATGTTCTTATTGCGGGAAGATGACCATCTAGGAGTTGTGGACCAAGCTCCGTTACCTCAAAAGGGGCGGAGCGCCATTGCCTCTGCTTCGATCTAGTTCTCGTTGTGGCGGCAGTCAGGCAGTAGCACGGGCGGTCTGAGGGTAACAGTGATCGCAAACCCTCCAGGGAACCAACCCTCGGGGGACCATCACTCCTCTTGCACTCTGCAACCAGTTGAGCTGCCAAAGGAAGGTGTTGGGCCCTCTACAAGGAGTGTACCAGCAGTATCCTTCGGCGCTCCTCCTGACAATCAGATATCGAGAGGGAGAGCCAGAGCTTTCTGGAGATGAAGATTCGGCTGCGCTGCTGCCCTCTGGGACTGTAGCAATGCCTGAATCAGATCTGGAAATGACGGCTATGCTTTCCCGGGCCGCCGTGAGGGTAGAGCTCGAGTGGAGACCTCCACTGTGTCCTGAGCCCTCAAGGTTGGACGATTGGCTCTTCGGGGTGGCCCGCCATGGTTCTCAGCGCCCTGACCCCGTGCCATTCTTCCCGGAGGTGCATGAGGGGGCTTATCAGATCGTGGAAGGCACGTTTTTCTGCTGGAAACCGACCTGCTAACTCCTCCTCCCTCACCCCTCTCGACGGTGGTGCAGCAAGGGGGTATACGGGGGTCCCCCCCGGTGGAGTGGTCAGTTGCGATGTAGCTGTGTCGTAATACTGCCTCCACCCTGCAGGGCAAACCGTGCCTCTCTTCCAGGGTCTGTAGGTACTTGTCTGGTCTGTCCGGCGATGCTCATGTGGCCTGTGGAGAAGCTGCCTCTGCCTTACATGCTAAATCTCGGAGGGATCTGCACGAGGATGGTCACGATACGGAAGTTCTGAGAGATCTCTGAACCGCAACTGACCTCACGCTCTGAGCGACGAAGGTCACTGCAAGTTCTCTGGGTCGTGTGAGGTCCACACTTGTGGTCCAAGAGCATCACCTCTGGCTGTGTCTGGTCGACATGAGGGATGCTGACAAGTTCGGTTCCTCAAGGTCCCTGTGTCCCAGACCGGCCTGTTCGGCGACGCAGTCGAGAACATGGCCCAGCAGTTCTCGGCTGCACAGGAGCAGACTGAGACTATCCGACATGTCCTGCCCCGGCGGGCAGCTGCTGCCTCCACCCGTCCACAGCACCCCAGCCTGCTCGTCGCTGAAGGGCTCCTGCGGACCATCAGACTCGGTTATGTGATTCAGTTCGTCCGGTACAGATCAGTACAAGGTCAAGGTTCTGCCCTTTGGGCTATCCCTGTCGCCCCATGTCTTCACGAAAGTTGCGGAGGCAGCCCTTGTTCCCTCTGAGAGAGCAGGGCATTCACATTCTCAACTACCTCAACGACTGGCTCATACTAGCTCAGTCTCAGGATCAGTTGTGCGAACACAAGGATTTGGTGCTCTCACAGCTCAGTCAGTTGGGCCTTTGCGTCAACTGGGAAAAGAGCAAACTCTTCTCAATACAGAGGATCTCTTTTCTCGGTGAGGAGTGGGATTCGATCGAACAGACTACGCTTCACGCAGGAACATGCTCAGTCAGTGTTGAACTGCCTGAATACATTCAAGAGCAGGACAGCGGCCAAACCCTCACCCCGTGGTCAGACCTTGCGTTTCTCCGGGCAGGAGTGCCCCTAGAACAGGTCTTTAGACATACTGTGGTTTACACGGATGCCTCTGCCACCGGCTGAGGGGCCACGTACGATGGGCATGAAGTGTTGGGGGTTTGGACATGCCCCCAACTGCACTGGCATGTCAACTGTCTAGAGTTGTTAGCAGTACACCTTGCCTTGAACCGTCTCAGAAGGTGCATACGAGGGAAGCACGTGCTGGTCCGAACGGACAACACTGCGACCGTTGCGTACATCAACCGACAAGGTGGTCTACGATCTCGTCGCATGTCGCAACTCGCCCGCCACCTCCTCCTCTGGAGTCAGAAGCATCTGAGGTCACTTCGTGCCATTCACATTCCGGGTCTGCTTAACTGTGCAGCCAACAAGCTGTCATGAGCTGCACTCCCCGGAGAGTGAAGACTCCATCCCCAGATGGTCCAGCCTCTCGCTGCCAGTTGTTTTACTCCCTTACCGAGGGAACACTCGGCAAGGATGCACTGGCACACAGCTGGCCGCAGGGCCTGCACAAGTATGCATTTCCCCCAGTGAACCTTCTCGCACAGACACTGTGCAAGATAAGGGAGGACGAGGAGCAGGTCCTGCTTGTGGCGCCCCACTGGCCCACTAAGGCCTGGTTCACGGAACTAATGCTCCTTTTGACAGCCCCTCTGGCAGATTCCTCTGATGAAGGATCTACTGACTCAGGGATGGGGCACCCTTTGGCACCCGCTTCCAGACCTCTGGAAACTTCACGACTGGTCCCTGGATGGGACTCAGAGGTTCTCGGTGGCCTACCCCAAGAGGTAGTAGACACCATCACTTCGGCAAGAGCACCGTCTACGAGACACGCTTATGCCTTGAAGTGGAACCTGTTCGTCGACTGGTGTTCTCCTCACCGAGAGGACCCCCGAAGATGCCTGATCAGAGTCATGCTGTCCTTTTTGCAGCAAGGGCTGGAGCGAAGGCTGTCTCCCTGCACCCTTAAAAGTCTATGTGGCTGCGATTGCCGCGTACCACGACCCCGTGGAAGGCAAGTCGGTAGGGAGGCATGACTTGGTCATCAGGTTCCTTAGGGGGGTTGAGAAGGTTAAATCCCCCCTGCCCCCCTCTATACCCTCTTGGGACCTGACTCTTGTGCTGAAAGCACTACAGCAGGGCCCATTTGAGCCTTTGCAGTCAGTCGAGCTAAAGTTTCTTTCAATGAAAACTGACTGTTCCTGACTGCATTGGCCTCCATCAAGAGGGTAGAGGACCCAAGGTTCCTACTACCCCCTTCAGGGATCAGGTAGTGAACATGCGAGCGCTGCCCCCGGAGGAAGCAGACCTAGCCCTAGCTTAGCTTAGCTTTGCTTTGACCCGTCCGAGCCTTGAGATGGTGCGTAGACTGGACTCAAAGCTTCAGGACCTCAGATCAGCTCTTTGTCTGTTACAGAGGCCGACAGAAGGGGAATACTGTCTCTAAGCAGAGGATGGCCTACTGGATAGTGGATGCCATCACCCTGGGTTATCAGGCACAGGGTGTTCCCTGCCTGCTCAGGTTGCGAGCTCACTCTACTAGAAGTGTTGCATCCTCTTGCGCGCTGGCTTGTGGCGCCTCGCTGACAGATAGAGCTGCGGCCAGGGCGACCCCCAACACGTTCGCTAGATTCTATAGCCTTTGTGTGGAGCCCTCGCAGCTCCTGTGTTCTCACCTCAAACGGGTAGAGGCACTGAGAGGCCTCGGTTTAGTGTCGGCTTGCTAAAACTGCTCTAAAGTGACCCCCAACACGTTCGCTAGATTCTATAGCCTTTGTGTGGAGCCCTCGCAGCTCCTGTGTTCTCACCTCAAACGGGTAGAGGCACTGAGAGGCCTCGGTTTAGTGTCGGCTTGCTAAAACTGCTCTAAAGTGTCCGTACTGTAGACCCTGTTGAGCTCCTCCATCCTCTCGGCAGCCAGACGTGGCGGAATGTTCAGCGCCAGGCCCTCACTCGATGAATCCGAGAGAACCGATAGAGGGCTGGGTTCTATATGTAGAGACGTAAGTGGATCCCATATGTGTAAAGTCCATGGTATAGCCTCAGAGCACGTGTTTCCCCGGCAGACTTCTGCCATTTCCAACAGGGTTATAATCACCTCTAATCTTCCATATGCACCTAAACAGTTGTTCATATGTGTAAGTGCTTCCGAAACCTCCTTCGGGAAGGATGGGGCTTCCGCAACGTTCCTGTTCCATGTGGTACGGGTACGTTTTCCCAGTATTATCCAATCTCACTGAGTGGGTAGTGCTACGACAACATTGACTGGCCTTCTTGTTGCGAGCCCCAGCCTTCACCGAAAAGGGGGAGCAGGAGGCTCGCACAGGACACTGGAGGCAGCATCCATGGCGTTTTGGTAGGGATCCCAATTCGTCGGTCATTACCGACGTAACATCGAGAGTGACCGACTGTAAGGGAACGAGGGTTACATACGTAATCGAGACGTTATCTAAAAAGATGATACTTTTTTGGAAAAAAAACTCTTTAAAAAAAATAAAAACTGAATGCTTATTTTACTGACATTCTACTGGTATATATAACTTGCATAATAATTTGGAACACAGTGTATGTAACCATGTAACCTGTAACCATGATAGTTGGAATGTACCCCTAGTCCTAACTTTGTGGATTTGGGCTTCATTGAGAATCATATCTCTGTCTTAGATGCTTTCTTATAAACTTGAGTAAATATGAGACATCTTGAAACAAAATATATAAAAATATTATTCATATTAGTTTTATCTCACTAATTTATCTTTGTCCAGAGGACAACCTAAGGGCAACATCACAGTCCTCAAGTACTAAATTGTGTTCTCTATCAAGTGATCAGCATGATCACCTTGAAACTTCAAAACAATGATTTACAACTAGCTCTCACACATTTACCTTACATAAAGTTCTTATGTGCATTCAAGTTAATCATGTGCATGCAAAAGTAAAAGAAATCTGCACCTGAGGAAAAGCTCGAAGTGTTTCACTAGTGCCCTCAGGTTCTTTTCTGGTATGTGCATCTTCCTCAAGATTTCTGGAAGTTTAACTAAAAAATATAAAAATAAAATAAAGGCTTAAAAATGTAAGTATAATTCCTTTAATTTATGACAACATTTTTAAACATATACAAGAAGCTGATATTCACCAAATAGCCGAAGCAGGTGCTGAGCGCCATAGAGGTAAGAAGGAGGGGGAAGCTGGTCACTCTGAGGGTAGTTTTCTGGTGTCAGTCTCCAGCTCAGAACCTCAAGACAATCACATAGGGGTAGACCAATTTAATGAGCTATTTTGTAAATTAGGTTATAAGCAGTATTGCACCAGAGCACGTTAAAGGGATAGTTCACCCAAAAATTTTAATTTACTGTTAATTTAGATACCCTCGAGCCATCCAAGATATAGAAAGGTGAGTTGATAAATAAAGTTTATTCACTTTATGTGCTTTAGACATGTAAAACATCCATGTTTCATATTTTTTTTCTTTAGTAGAACAGTAAAGATTTTTAGCTGAAGGTGTGGTCCTTAGTGATTCATAAATTTCAAGTCAGTGGCTGCCCTTCTTTGAGAATAAAAAAGCATATTAAGGAACACACATTTAATACCTGTGGCTCCTGACAATATAACAAGGTCTTATGAAGCAAAATGATTGGTCTGTGCAAGAAATTGAACATTATTTACAACATTATTACCTGTAATCCATTGCCTAGAGAAATCCTTGTTTTTTTTCAGCAAACTGGTTCTTTCAAACAGTTTGTTTCAATGAACAGAGTTACTTCACTATAGTTTAAGTAATCACACAATGATGTAAGGTATACACAATTATATTATTAAACCACCCAATAATGATGTGAAACATGGATGTTTTACATGTCTGAAGCACATAAAGTGAATAAACTTTCTTTATCGGCTCACCTTTTTACATAAACAATGAGAAACTATAAAAACTTTCATTTCACTCCTTTATTCAAGTGCTCGGTTTATACATGCACATATTACTGGCTCATCGATCTTCGGCCTGGGTCTGAACTGTTCAGTGTACTGTTGGAGGACCTAGAGTACTGATTGAGTTGGTAAAAACCAGCATGATAGGATCATATACGACAGTATTTTGTAAATTGTTTAGCTTCATAATACCTCGATATATTGTCAGGAGCCACAGGTATTAATTTTGTGTTAGTTGGCATGCTTTTTTATTCTCAAAAAGTAGCAACCACTAACTTTTATGAATTTTGAGTTTTCTAAAAGATTTTATGAATCACCAAGGACTACGGTTTCAGCTAAAAAGTTTCTTTACTGTTCTACTCAAGAAAAAAAGTCACCTACATCTTGGCTGGCCTGAGGGAGGTTTTTGGGTGAACTAACCCTTTAAGTATAGATCCTACATCTCTAACAGTGCAAGCATACAACAATATGATTTAAACTATGCAGAGAATTCGTACCACACCAAAATGCATATTTAGTCTCCATAATTTCTTAATACAATTATGGTTATACAGTATATATTATAAATATATATCTATATATAAACCTCTGTTTATCAGTTTGCACTGGCTACCAATAGCTGCTCGCATAAAATTCAAGGCATTAATGTTTGCCTACAAAACCACCAATGGCTCTGCACCCCTTTACCTAAATTCATTACTTCAGACTTATGTGCCCTCTAGAAGCTTGCGTTCTGCAAGTGAACGGCACTTTATTGTGCTATCCCAAAGAGGCACAAAATAACTTTCTCTGACTTTTAAATTATATGTTCCCTCCTAGTGGAATGACCTGCCCAACTCAGTCCTTAGCCATCTTCAAGAATTGGCTAAAAACACATCTCTTCCATATTTATTTGACCCTCTAACTCTAGCACTCTCTATTCTAACTCTATTCTTTATTTTTTTTTAAAAACTTGCCCCTTTTAGACTTTATTTACTATCTGCTTGTTTTCTTTAAAAAAAAACTAACACTTGCTTCTCTAATCTTTTTGCATTCTATTGGTTTTCTTTTTATTAATTATGCAATTACAATTCTGACTTACTGACTTCTGACTAACAAAACCAAAAAAGGCCTCTAACACTAGCTTGCTCTATTCTATCTGTTTTCTTTTTATTTATTATATGATTTGAAAAAAAACCTTGCTACGTGTACTGCATTAAGCTAACTGAGACTTGTTATAGCACTTGCATATCATTGCTCTTTTGTTGATTTTGATTGCTTCCATTGTCCTCATTTGTAAGTGGCTTTGGATAAAAGCGCCTGCTAAATGTCTAAATGTAAATGTAATG